CAATCTAGGTGGCTTAAATGATATGTTAGATAAAATATGAAATTAAATGACTTATTTAATTTCACCTATCATTTAATACCACATTACCGCCACCTAAACTGTGTTTTCATCCCCAATGGGGATGAATAGCATTACTCTTAAGATGTTTGGAAATAAAAATGTTTGGCATATACCGTTGGTGGTAGCTTAAAATTTACGAAGAAATTTCATTTCGATGTCAACCAAAATCGTAACTTCGAATCGAATGGGCAAAGGAGTTTCGTTGATCGAATCGTGAAATTGAAAGATTCTACTAAATATTAAAATTAGAGGCACAACATATAATTACCGACACTAACTAACATCAAATAATAAAACTAAGGTCACAACTTACAACTACTTTATAAAGATCGAGAGTTACAATACATAATATTTTCAAACATAAATTATCGAAAAGTAGGTTTAACTCTTCGCCAATGGCATTGTATGAATTATCTCTCTCTTTGCTTCAAGCTGTACATGACAAATATCTAATCATTCATCTTCATAAACGATTTCCACGCTTGAGTGAACTTACAATTCTATAAATTTATTAATGTAAATAATTAATGTCAAGAATAACTAATAAATCGAAAGTCATTTTACTTTACCATTTCAAATGATCTCCAAATCCTTTCCCATCCGGATGAGCTGCGAGTCGAACTCGAACTTTAGTTTTGCTATCCCATTTGCAATTACTTAATTATTATTTTTCTGAAGTAGGGTAACTTAATAAAACAAAAAAATAAAAAATATATAGAGTTTACTCCCCCAATTTTACACATAGAAGGAATTGAGAAATTTTTAATTATTGAATTTGTTTTGTACTCGTTGACAAATTTCTCCAAGCAATAATCCTAAGCCCCTGTCTGCCTCCACTTTTTGTGAGATTAAAATCTTCTCTTTTACCGTTGTAAAGTGAGTGTTGGTCATTGTGTGAGAAGCAAGTAAAAAAAAAAAAAGCAGTTGTGGACTCATTTGGAAGTGACAACGATCAATATATTGATATAAATCTTGTTAAAAAGGAAGAACAGACATGAGCTAAATATCCCTACCGCTTCTGGCGTCACCCTTCTTGCAATCTTCACTTTGAATTTTATTCTCAATACCTTCTCTCAATCCACCTCTTAACCCATAAATTTACTTAAATTTGTTAAATATGAAATTATATAATTAAAGTATTATATTTATGAATTTTTCCCATTCATGTTCTTATAAATGTGAAGGAAATTATATATATTCATAGTTGAATGTCACATTAAAGATATGGATTTTGTCACGTGGACACCTCGGTGTACAGCTCCCCTCACAATAGAGAGTCCACAGTTTTTATTGGTTGTGGACTCTCCTTTATTGTGAGAGAGTGTACACCGATGCGTCAATCCTGATATACAAATAGCAAAATCCTAAAGATATCCACGCTAAATTATAATTTTTTATTTAATAAAGATATTCACGCCATTTTATTTAGTAACGTTATATTAATATATAAGTAAGAGGAGCCTGACTCTTTTTTTCCCCCCCTTCTTCTCATGCAATCTAATTTCTACCTTTTTTAATTTATTTTTTCTCTTCTAAGCTGCTATTCTTGTTGCTTTCTCTTTGTGAAAAAAATTAGAAAAGATACTAGAATTGAAGAAAACCTTGCACAAGCATTTTAAAATA